GGGGGGGTGCGGGGTCGGGGACGCCCCCCCACCCCCAACCCCGCGTGACCTGGAAGCTCTTGGGGGGGCGGGGATCGATCGATCCACCTGCGGGAAGGTGTTCTCACGGCGAGCAAACCCAGAGCCCACCGGGGTGGGGTGGGGGGGGTGACCGTCCCCGTTTGGTTTTGCTCCCACCCCGCCTGAATTCTCTTAAATTGTCATTAAAAAAAAATTTTTTTTTTTTTTCTCCTTGGGGGTTAACAACTGTACAACTTCCCCACCCAGGATTCGAACTCGCGGCAAGAACCACATACATATATATGTATATATATATATATATATATGCCGGTCACCGTTTGGTATTGCTCCCACCCCGCCGCTGCCTCAATTGTCTAAAATTGTCATTAAATTTTTTTTTTTCTTCTTCGGGGTAAAACTGTACAACTTCCGAACCGGGGATTCAAACTCCTGGCGAGAGCCATATATATATATATATATGTATGTATATATATACACCAGCCACCATTTGGTATTGCTACCACCCCGCCGCCGCTGCCTGAATTGTCTTAAATTGTCATTAAAATTTTTTTGCTTTCTTTTTCGGGGTAACGGCGCACAACTTCCGAACCGGGGATTCGAACCCGCGGCGAGAGCCATATATATATACCGGCCGCCATTTGGTATTGCTTTCACCCTACTACTGCCTCAATTGTCTTAAATTGTCATTAAAAAAAATTGTGTTTTTTCTCCTTCAGGGTAACGACTGCACAACTTCCGAATCGGGGATTCGAACTCGCGGTGAGCGCCATACATATATACCCGCCGCTGCCTGAATTGTCTTAAATTGTCGTTAAAAAAATTTGTTTTTTCTCCTTCAGGGGAACAACTGCACAACTTCTGAACCCGGGATTCGAACTTGCGGCGAGAGCCACATATACACCGGCTGCCATTTGGTATTGTTTTCACTCCCGTCGCTTCCTGAATTGTCTTAAATTGTCGTTAAAAAAATTTTTGTTTTTTTCTCCTTCAGGGCAACAACTGCACAACTTCCCAACCCGGGATTCGAACCCACGGCGAGAGCCATATATATATACCAGCTACCGTTTGGTATTGCTTTCACCCCGTCACCCCGCCGCTGCCTGAGCTGTCTTAAATTGTCGTTAAAAAATTTTGTTTTTTTCTCCTTCAGGGGAGCGACTGCACAACTTCCAAACCAGGGATTCGAACTCACGGCGAGAGTGCCGCTAGGGTGCTCCCGCTGAGGTATCTCTT